TGGATATTGTTGCGCTTATGTTAAATTCTCATTTGATGACGGTCGAAGTGCGCCGCTCATAAGCGCGCTGCAATCCCGCTCATAAGGATTCTACACAGGTCTGTAACTTAGATAGTCACAGACAAACAGACATAACACATTGAATATTTCGCACTGTAAAACATCGTCGCTAAAACATTACCGCCATCTGTTGAGTACACTGTGGTGGGTAGTACGCTGAACAGATGGCGGTAGTGTGTAAACGTCAAACGCAAGTGAATTGACTATGCGCGCCACATGTGGCGGTACTACCAACTACCGTACTTTTAAATTGACTGTTAAATGCTTGTTCGATGAACAACTTGCGAGAGTTATGTCTGTTTGTCTGTGATTTTATGGTAGCGGCTTGAGGAGCGAGTCCTGGGTAAAGAGCCGCCGCACAATGGCACCAAGCTGGACTTTAATCAAAAAAAAATTCTTGGTTTTCAATAGTTTGATTTTTTTTTTTTTATATACATATTGAATAAAGTTTTCCCACAATATCACAACATTATAAAGAAAATTATTTTTTTAGCAGCTATTCAAAGGTGAGCAAACCTCAGTCATTGATATGAATATATCTTTTCAGCTATATTTCCGATCTGGGTCAAAATGGTTTTAATTTGAAGGGTTTCCATCCAGCTTATGTTTACCATTCGATTTATCTAATACAGGTATTCTTTCTCTTTCCTACATTCGATAATAAATGATAAGGCATGCAGAAAATTGCAAATCTTAATGTTTAAGGAGCTTGTAAATTTTTTTGAAACAGTTCGAAAAGATCGCTTGTAGATCACAATGATGGAACTTCATTGAACTTTTTGGAAATGTACATGTTGTTTTGTCCCTTTTTGCCCCAAGGTATAATTTTAAAAAAAAAAACTTTGGAGACAATTAAAAAAAAAACAGTGGAGACTCATGGTAGCTCGTAACACAAAAAGATTTTGCCTCGAATTCAGGCTTACTATAATTTTTCACATCAAAAATTTATAACGACTTCGAAGCGTTTTTTCTCATAATGCTTTCCAGGCATTGTCATATGGCATATTTCGAAAACTTTTCAGAATCAATGGATTCTCCACTAGAAAAAAACTTTTGACAGGTTCCGAAATCTTATTATCAAATTCAAGTCGATATGGGTGATTGCCGAAGATATTTCCGCATTAAAAAAAAAACGCCTGGCGGTGTTGCCAGTATTGCTTGTGCCAAAACCAGGACGAGGTATATCAACGTGCAGGCCAAGTTTACTGAAGAACTCTGTCTGAATGCGATTCTTGTTGCGATTATATTCATACATATGACCTGATTTTACCCACTTGCAAAAGCTGAGTCTGTAGGCGATATGCAATAAACATTCAAAGCAACGAATCCAGCAGTTTAGACTAATGATTCCGTTTCAATAGGTTTTTCACAATGTTTTCAATATCATTGAAATTTGGCTTTGCACAGGTAACATCGCTGTGCAGATGAAGTCCGCGTAATGGCATTAATGGTTTTAGTGTCAATCATAGTCATTGAGAGTTTATATTCGATACTAATCACGTATTCTCCCACTTTCAATTCCATTGCTTTGCGCTGTTTTATTGCGCCAATCATGCGCTCATACTCTTCCGTTGTTTTCTCTGGAGTTTTCTTGGCCAAATATATCGCGATTGGACGGCAATACCGAGTGGAGGAAAATTGTTGTCCCAAATCAAACATTCCTCTCCGAATATTCTCAGTGGAACAATTGATGTTAACACTACATGAGCATCAGAGCTTTTCGGATCTTCGAATTTCTGATTGTACTCAGGCATGTTCGTCAAGATCCCATTTCACATAGAGGTGAAAACGCGTGCAACCCTTTTGAGCCGAAGAAATGATTTCTGTTTCGAAAAGTTTGGACAATCTAGAAGCAGTGCGATTAAGGACTTCCTGCAAATCAACTGTACAGTGAACTTTTGATGTATCAAAATAAGTTTCAGGAGGGTAGCACAGTTTTTAGCTGCTGATATTGATTTGTACGATGGGTACACGATCTTTGCTGTTTCACGGATGATGTTATATTTTCGTTTTGAAAACTTAGCATTGGTAAAAATTGCCAATGCCTGTTCATTTGATATTTTCGAAATTGTACCAGATTTCAAAACGTTCGCCAATTCCTTCTTACCTTCAGCCCGCATTGTCATTTCCGTTGCAAAATATAGCTCACCTTAAATTCAAGAAAATACCAGTTTTAAAAAACAAAATTATAACCAATTAAAGTAATTACTCACTCGAACTACAAGCTCGTCTATGAATTGATCCAACCATTCTGCATTTGCTGTCAGAAATCGTTCATTCATTCGTTTTGCATTGTTTCAGCGGCGTAGGTATTCGCGATACAAAGCGCCGATTGTAACATCGACATCCTGATAAATTATTTCTACATGTCTCGTTATGTATTCGCGAATTGATCTGAATTTTTCCTCACAACTGCCCACCCAACTAACAATTTTAGCTGCAACTCAGCTTATACAGGCAAAAATTAGCTGCATAAGGCAAATTTTGGCAGTATAAGCTAATCCGCAGCTAAAATTGTTTGTTGGGCAGAACGTGTAAACCACCTAGTAGGGTTAACTACCCCATTTTCGGCCTATTAAGCACAACCCACACTTAGTCTTTCTTAATCTAGCGCAGTTTAGCACCAAACGGAATGTCATTATTACTGATGGCTTCCAAATTGATTTACCTTTCCGTACGTACCAAAAGATTTGATAAAGAGAAACCAATCGTTGAGATATTGTCAAAAGTCAAACACTGCTTCTTGACGCCAAACTCGGCCTACGGATTCTAAACTCGGCCTAACGCATTGAAACGCCTTTGAAACGCAATTGAATTCACTTCGGCCTATCGGATGAAGATAAAAGTTGATTCGGTCGGAGCGCTTTTTGTTTTGTTTTTGAGAATAATGGGTGCAAACCTTCATATCACGCGTTCTCATGGACTTCGTTCGGTAGCTTATTAACTAAAGTATCGTACCAAACGCATAATTGACTTGTTAACTCTGAAATCATGGATTTATTTGAAGTTTTCTGCTCGATAGGCCTAAAATGGGCGATTAGGCCGAAGTAGTTCTCTACCCTATGTCTTTTCTTTTTAATAAAGTTTATATAACAATGAAAAGAGTTTAACTATTGTGTTTCCAAATATAGTTTCAAATCATGACTTTTTACCTGCTGCTTGGCAATCCTTTTTCAGTAGTTTTAAATTCAATCAATACTTTAATGTTATATCTAAATCCGGTCAGCGGATGCAACACACCGGAAAACATACATGTTTTGATTTTCGAAGAAACTTATCAGAATCGCCACATTTTTTAAAAAGGCAGCTGTACTCTTCACGGGCAAAAAAAGCTACTCACCAGGTGAGTAACAGCTACTCCCTCCTCATACACCATTTTGACGTTTAATTGTCTCTCTCTCTGTCTAGCACATGGGGATAAATCGATTCTTTGTTTACCCACTAATCTGTATCTTTCTTGCTCACATATCTGTGATTAAATGGTTCAGTAATGTGCACGGATGAGATTGCAAAAAGCTGTTTTCGACCATGCGAACGTTACTCACTTTTGTCGAAAGTGGATCTGCTCACTTTTTAGTAAATATGTGGAAAATCGGAAGATGCTTCACTCGGTCTATTAGTATAAACCATAGTATTGTATATGACACACTTGCGCGTTTCTGATCGAAAAACCGTTTTTCCAGCGGTTTCAAGTAAGGTGATCAGGGGGCGTCCATTAAGTACGTCACACCCTAAGGGAGAAGGGGGACATGAAGAATCGGCGACAAACAATGCATTAAGTCTAGGCAAAATGCATTGAAAGGGGGATTTTCCTTCAATATAGCGTGACGTACTCTATGGATCGCCACTTAAAGTAAAAACATCAAAAACGGACGCAGCATCCTAGAACCACTATAATATGAACTTTCCATCAAATTCAGACAACTTTTGGATTTTTGTCCGAGATTTGTATGGACGGTGTCCACTGTGCGCCGTATCAATGGGCGCAGTCGTACGGCCATAAAAAGAGAACAGATGGTATAATCCCTTCTTGAGAAATCATCCTGGCACACACCATACATCCTCTTACTTTTTATCATTTTTTTAACCGGCCAACCCCTAGATTTGTGCCATTACATGCGAAAACCACTCTCTGAAAATTTCAGCTTATTTGGATGTAACACGAGCTGGCGCTTTTGATTTAAAATTTATATGGGGATATTGGTTGAAATGTATAAAGAAATAATATTCCTTCACTCTTTCGTGCATAGAACTGGTTTATCAAACTCGGTTGAGAATTTCAGCACACGTAGCTTAAACAATAAGCAACAACTTTGCTGAAGACAGCATCACGATTCAAGTTAGTATTAAGGAGATAGGGGAAATGCAGGTAATGTCGGCCTAAGTGTCCCTAATTTGGGCCCATACATAAATTCAGCAATCGACTAAATTTTCAATAACAACCAAAAATATCCATTAGTAACGTCCCAATAACGCGTTTATCTAGATAAAATTGATAAATAGCAGATTTTTAGCGATGGGCCCAATCATAGATCCATAGGCCAACATTAGAGCCATTTCCCGATTATTGATTAATTATGTGCATTCTGCTTGTATATTGCAACAAAATACAGGCAGCTTATGCAACGTTTGGGTGGGACGGTCGGAGTCATGAATCATCCCCCAGCAGTATTTGTTCAGAATTGTGTTATCCAAGAAATGCTAACCTGAGTACAACGTGGGCAGCAAAGGGATCAGAAACATACGCTGGAGTCATTCCGTAAAGAAATACGATACTTGTAACCTACTTGCGAGCTATTTGCATTGGAAAACGACACATTCAGACAAATAGGTGTAATTAGGTGAGCTTTCCACTTACGGTACTGTGGGAGCGCCATAGCTTCGGTCCCGTTTGCACACATGTGGAAAATGCGTCGCGGTCATCAGTGTTAGCACACCATCCGCACCGTACGGGATGAAACTGAGCAAGGTTAAGGCCATCCTGGGCCGAGTGAAGGAAATCTTTCTGGATTTTTCGTCGAAAACTTCCATTCACGGTGTGAAGTATTTCGGCTGCCCAGATCGAAGCTGGTGCGAAAAATGCTGGTGGATCACGGTGTTTGCCCTTTCGGTGTGCAGTTGTGCCTTTTTGATACGGAAACTCTACGACAAGTGGGATCAAACTCCGGTGATTGTCAGCTTTGACGAAAAGTTTACTCCCGTTTGGCAGATTCCGTTTCCGGCGGTGACCATTTGTCCGGAAGCGAAGACGCCAATTTCGGTGCTGAATTTTACCAGGGAATTTCGACGGTTTGTGGAAAATTCGTCAAGACGAAATCGTCATGAGAGGTTCGGGAAAGTGATAAGTGTTGAAGACATGAGAAACTAATGAAGGTGTTGCATTTCAGAGATGATGCCCTGCTGGCAATGATGCAGCTTTGTGACCGTACAAATATCTACAGCTTGGTCTCCACGACGTCCACCATTCCAAACAAAACGACCGAGGAAAGCTACGCCTCTTTGATCCGGTCATTGAACATCCCTCGAACCGATTTGCTGGATGATTGCATCTTTCTCAGTGAACGATTCAACTGCTCCGAGCTGTTCTCGTACACACTCACTGAGGAAGGCGTTTGTCTCACATTCAATATCCTATCGGCAAAGGACATGCTTCGTACGGAAGTGCTTCAAACAAGCGACCCCTACCTTACCGAAGAGTCCGAAGCTCCCTACTGGTCCCTGGAGCTGGGTTACTCACCGCAAGCGAACATCACTTCCTATCCTCGTCGAACACTAGGACCTGGATACTCCGCAGGTCTCTCCCTCTTCCTACGCTCGGACCTCACGAATCACGACTATCTTTGCCGAGGGCCCATCCACGGTTTCAAGGTCCTACTTCATTCCTCCAGCGAGTATCCCCTGGTAACAAACAAATTCATCCGCATCCCCATGAACCACGAAGTGACGATCGCCGTCAAGCCGGAAAAGATTGCCACAACCGATGGGCTGCAAAGCTACAGCCCCGAGCGACGCCAGTGTTTCTTCAACAGCGAACGATACCTGCAGTTCTTCCGTGTTTACAACCAGGAAAACTGCGAACTCGAGTGCCTCACCAATTTTACCCTGCACCGATGTGGATGCGTCAAGTTCTCAATGCCCCGAACCAACGTCACTCCGGAGTGCGAGATCAATCGATTCTGGTGCATGTGGAATGCGGAGATTGAACTGCTGGAGATGGGACCCACTTTTCACAAGTTTGAAGAGGTCAGTTTCCGTGCGAGGTGCAATTGTCTACCGGCGTGTACATCGGTACAGTACGATACCGAGATTACGCAGGCAAACTTTGACTGGATGAAGTGGGCACGAACGATGAATGTCTCTTCGGCGGCTGTGAATGGGTAATGTTTTGAACGTAATGTAGTAATTACAGTCTAAATTGAGATGATCGGTTTTCTGTTCGCAGGATGGAGATTTCCCGTCTGGGGATCTACTACAAGGAATCGCAATTTATGACTTCGAAGCGAAGCGAGCTGTATGGGCTGACGGACTTCCTGGCGAACTGTGGTGGCTTGCTGGGGCTGTGCATGGGTATGAGTCTGTTGAGCTTGGTGGAGCTGTTTTACTTTTGTCTGATAAGGCCGTTTGCTTTATGGCACCACCAACAGCAGCAGCAGCAGCAGCAGCAGCAACAGCAACAACAAGAAAAGCCAGTACATTTAGAGAATGGGGAAACCCGGACTTCGATTGATTTGCAAAACATTCAACGCAAAAGTGATTGAGAACGGCGGTAGTGAAATATGTGTTTTAATGTTGAATCATCATACAATTCAGTCGGAAAACGTGGCAAATAAATGGATGTCGTGCAATAAAAACAAGCTACATGTATACCTCGATGTAACGTAACTGTCACTTTTGACTTCCATCGCCGATTTCTCGCAAACGGTAATTCAATCAAGCAAAGTAATGATTCCATCGGACAGTTGAGACAAACCCTCATCTATTGGTAAAGTTTATTCATATGATTCAATTGTTATTTGAAAGATATCGACCATGACGGTCAAAACTGACAGTTACGTTATATCGAGGTACACCTGTATAAGAATTTAAAACAAAAAAGGGTGGGTATTGCTAATTAGTATTGAAAACAGTCAAAGATTCACACCGCATATTGAAGCATTCCTAGAGTTTCCTTTGCATAAAATAGGAAACAAGAAGGGTAAAACATTTCCGGTAGCTCATGCCATTGATGGTTCATCGAAGACTTTGCCTCGCATGTAAATTTTTGGGGTGCCATGATTAAGTGTTGGAACCAGATGGTCGAGTTGCGCGATTGTATAATCCATATCCTTTTTCGCTAAACAGAGTTCTCGAATCACACGGAAAGCCATTTGCTTTCGATCTATACAGATTTAAAAAAAAATGACAGCTTAGAATTTTACAATTTAAGGTCAGTATAATGTGCTGACACTGTTGACGACTGTTCAGTAAAACTTATGATTCCCTAATAAAAAAGAATAACCATTCAAGACCGATAACCCAAATGATGGTTTTGATAATAGCCTGAACACATCGTTAAGCAAAATAACCATACACATTTTATTAGGGCTACTTTGTGAACATTATTTTTTTTTCTTTTTTTTTATTATAGTCACTTTAACACTTTTGGGTCATTGGTGACTTGTCCAGGGGTGTGAACGCTACTAGGTGAGTGGTAGTTCCTGTCAGTGTTTTTCATTCCTTTATTTAACATTAGTCTCTGTTCCGCAAGCTAGTGCCAATCACCGACGGACATCGATTGCCATTCATTGACGGCAATCGAATGTGCAGGAAGGCAGCTTCCACACCTTCGTAGGATATCGCACCCATTCAACACACATGGGCCGGGACCAACGGCTTTACTTCCCTTCCGAAGGAAGACGTGACCAGAGATGTTTATGCCTCAGAAAAATCTCACCGACCTCGGCTGGGATTGAACCCAGACCCATTGGGGTGAGAAAGTAGTCACGCTTACCACTACACCACCGGCGCCGGCTTGTCAGTGTTTTTGTCGTTTGCAGTTTCGGGTGGGTTAATCACATACTGCGTATTTTTCTTTTAGAGTGTATTCAAATGTCAGCACGGCTTGCAAGTTCGTTTTGAATTTTTATTCGTTTGAGACTCGTGGCAATCCGAGACGGGACTCGACAATCGAGCTTCTCACTCTTCTGAATGTTTTTGAAGAATGCCCTTCGGAAAGTTGCGCGTGGTGTTTGACGGTGTTGACCAATGATGCCAGGCATGTAAAATATTGTTTAAATTTTAATTTGGATTATATTCGGAGTTTCTACCACAGTTTAACAGCTTGTACATCATTTTTGCTCAACACAATAAAAAAACAACCATAAACAAACAACAATATCCATCGCTTAAAACACGCAGTGCACGCAATATGTCAACTTTCCTTCCGCAAATATAAACAATTAACAACGCCATTGACGTCAACATTGATTCCGGCATTACTGCCAGGCAGATTGAAGCGATCCTTCTGTCCTTTTTATTCCACGATTTATACTGTCAAATCGACCAATCAGAAACTGGCTCGGATTTGACAGCAAATTGGCTCGAAATCGCTACCCCATTGTCAAGTCCCGTTCCAGGTGGCAATCATTGGAGCAGTATACAAGCAGTGAACCATACAAGCAGTGATTCTGGCAGCACTGCGAGCTGCCAACAATGAAATTTGTGCCAACATAAAACAACAACTTCCGTTTCCACGCACGGCATACGTATCAATTTTATACCAACACATATTTTATTCGGCACGGTAGAGGAATAAACACGTTAAGAAGTTGTTCCTTGTATTATTTTGATTGCGTCTCGAAGTTCCGAATTAAATTCCCACGAAATACCGACGATTTTCCGGTTCAAAGTGTTTGATGTTGTTTGTCAAGATGCAGGGAGCTGGAGGTCAAACCTCTGGTGGAGCTGCCACTGCTGCTGTTCTCGTTCGAGCCGTTCAATCAACAATCAATTCGAAACTAACGATTTAAAATTGGCTCACTACTTGACTAGCCTATTGGACCCAAGCAAATCGATTAACGTATCCCATTCTAGTCAAAATTCTAGTACTACACTATGTTTGTTTTGATTCGCTATGAAAGTTTGACAGATAAAATGAGGGGTTCGTGGATTTTCGTATGTTCCGAGGGGTGTATCGATTAGCTTGGGACCAAAGATAGTACCAGAGCTGAGCCAAAAAGTTGAGCTCGTTTCTTCGGGACCTTCTGGTGTTAGAGTTACCTCTATGGTTCAATTGTGCAACGTCAAAGTTTGACCGATGGTTGGAGCGACTGAAGGCGTCTTTTCGTATTTACAAGGTTCTGGAAGACGACGAACGTGATTACCTCCTGTATGTCATGAGCGGTGCCACCTACAACGTGCTGTATAACAAGCTCAACAATGAACAGGGTGTCAACTCAACGAACAAAATAAAATTCCTGATATTCCCTGATTTTCCAGTAATTTTCAAAAAAAATCCAGTTGCAGCGCCTACCGAGGGGTGCGACTCTATCTAAGATGCAGGAAAATTTTCGCTTTGCTGCGTCCAAGCCACAAACGAAGTGACAGACGACTAACTGGCGAAGAAATCAATTAAAATAATGTGGTTCGCTGTAATAGAATTTTCTTAGAAGCTTGTGCCATCATCCACCAGATGGGATAGTATTTTTGTTTTGGTTTTGCACAAAGTTGATTTTGTGTACAATGATTCTTTGACAGTGTGCAAAGAGTGCGTATCATTTTGTCATTTTTTATGCATTTCAGTTTTGAGTAGAGTGAAAGAGATAGAACCAAAACATTCTAGTACATTTGGTGAAAATGCTAGTTCAATCCAGTAGTAGTGTTGCCATGTGGTTCAATCCAGTAGTAGTGGTGTTGCCATGTGGTACACTGAAAAATTGTAATAGCAGGTTAGTCACCAAAGTTTTCGAGCCGCTCCGTCTGTCACTTCGTTTGTGGCCCAAGCTTAGTAATAGAATGAAGATTGATGAAGATTTTTAAGATTTCCTTCAAATTGTTGGAGAGCGATGTGAGTAGATCGATTTAGATACAAGAGTTGAAACAATATTTTTCGTAGATTGATTCACTAACGTGAGATTTTGAGATTTAGATGTGTCGGACCCCCAGGTGCCTACACAGTTTTGGCAACACAGCCCCATCAGCCATAACTTTCCTCAGAATATATTATTGTCACACTTCTCTATATTTTTCCAGATTTGTCAACTAAAATTCATGGAATTTTCCCGGTGACTTCAAATTCCAGCTTTTTCCGGTTGTCCCGGTTCACTGGTCACTCTGCATTTCACATATGAAACACTTGTTTTTAATCCCATTATATTTGAGCAGGCTTGAGCACATTTGAGACCCAGCTCCATAAGAAAATTATTCCGGATAATAAAGGGCGAACACGAAATTATTGCGACACCGAAAATGTCATGCCAATTTTCTTATAATGTTTAGAATCAAACCAAAATTTTAGGGTAGTTTTATACATATATTTACTTCAAAAATCAAAATAAAAGTTAATCGGTGGAGCCTTGAGTGTAAAATTGAACGCATTTTCGCTTGATGCCCTCCATCAAAGTCTTTACAGTGTCATCCGGTACCAGTTTCTCAGTTTTTTTTTCCATTTTCTTAACATGTCCTTCTCGTCTTTGACTGTCTTCTTGCTCCAACGGGGCGCAGCTCCGGACAGTTTGGCGGATTCATGTCCTTTGGAACAAAATGGACAGAATTGGCCTCATACCACTCCAGGACACTTTTAGAATAGTGGCATGATGCCAAATCTGACCAAAATAGCGGAGCTTCGTCGTGCAGCTGCAAGAACGGCAAAAGGCGCTTCTCGAGGCACTCAGATTTGTAGATCTCGCCATTTACTGTGCCCTTTGTCACGCAAGGCTCACTCCTCAGTCCGCAAGAGCAGATGGCCTGCCAAATGAGATATTTGGAGGCGAACTTCGACATTTTCTTCTTCTTTAATTTGTCGTCCACATCGAACTTGCTCTTGCCGGTGAAAAACTCCAACCCCGGAATTTGCTTAAAATCGGCTTTTATATACGTTTCGTCGTCCATCACACAGCAGCCATATTTTGTCAGCATCTTCTCGTAGAGCTTCCGTGCCCGAGTTTTAGCCGTCGATTGTTGCCGCTCATCGCGGTTTGGGAAGTTCTGTACCTTGTATGTATGTAGTCCAGCTCTCTTCTTTGCATTCTGGACGTAGCTCTGCGACATGCCGATCTTTTTAGCCAAATCACGGCTTGAGACGTTGGGATTTGCTTTAATCATCCGCTTCACCTTTCCCTCCGTTTTTTTGTTCTCCGGTCCCGGTTTTCTTCCAGCTCCTTTGCCGTGGTCCAACGTCAACCGCTCCTGGAACCGCTTCAACACTCTGGAGACGGTTGAATGGTGAATGTTCAACATTTTTCCCAACTGCCGGTGCAACAGGTCAGGAAATTCCAGGTGTTTGGAAATAATTTGTTCTCTCAACTCGCGTTGGTTCACCTCCATTTTCGTTGAATCGAAAAACACGACTTCGAGTTTGACAGCATGTACACAATACACATCAATGAGAAAGTGTGCAAAATTTGGTTGATTTTTACCCAATGGTAAAAAGTTATGCCCTGTTGAATGTGTCGCAATAATTTCGTGTTCGCCCTTTAAAAAGTCCGATGATTCTCTCTCACCCCAGTAGGCCTGGGTTCAATCTGATAACGCCTTCCTTCGGAATGGAAGTAAAACCGTT